ACCCGTTCTGTTTCCGGCCAAGCGACCACCGCGTCGTAGTGCTTCTGGACCCAAGCCTCACAAAGCTCCTGCCGAAGAAGGGCCAGCAAACAAAACAGGCACGACTAATGGGACTGCCATAGGACTGCCGATCAGGTGGGGTGGTGCCAGGGTGGTCAATTGATCGGCATCTATATGGCAGTCCCATGAGTCATGTCTGGGACATACCACCCCGGTGAAGCTAGCTGGCCAGGTGCTTCTGTGGTGGTCCTTGAGATTGCTCAGACCCCACGCCGTGGCACTCCATGGCGCTCTGGAAGTATCCACGACCGGACGACCAGGGCACTTAGGGATGGAGCCAAAGTTGGAACCCCAAGCACTTCCTTTCAACCACCCCAATGTAATTCGGAACAAATATGACAATCCCAAAAAGCTCGTGCCCGGAAACCTTTCGAAGTGACTGTCGCGAGGTCCCAAACCAATGCCCGCCCCCGTGATTCCGCACTCCGCGAGGTGTCCAGATTTGCGCTTGGAGTTGGCTTGGACAGCGCCGCGAACATATTCCAGGATCATGCCCAGTCATTCCAAGGTTTGTGTTCTCAACTCCCTTAAAACTGGTGTTTTCGTGGATTCAATCACCCAAGGCAACGCGACCACACGGCTTCCGCCACCAGATCTTCAGGTCACCAGGTCCCGGCTCCTCATAGCTCACCCATCGCCACATAGAAGGATCCAGTTGCCGGAAGACCTGGCGCGGCGCGTGCCTTGCGGTTGGCGACCCGAGCGTCATCTAGATGACTCCGAAATCAGGGGTGGGTGGGTGAATGGTGGGTTTGCCCTTTTGTAAAGAAGCCCATGGGCCCATGAGAAGTCCATCTAACTCAGTCTTTTCTTCCCACAACCATGGGTACAACGGGCCTAATGGGTGCAAACCACGACCAGCTGACCAGATTCGGAGATGGCACAGTCAACTTCAGGTGGTGTTATAACAAGTTGTATCTCACCCACTCATCGACTCTGAGCATCACCCTGGCATTGGTGACTCGTGGTGTCCATAAACCACCCCGTTTGCGTTTGCGGGGGTCTTTTGTAAAGGATCATATCCCAAACACTCCAGGTACGATTTCCTTGATCGTTGGCCAAAAGGATATCCATTTAGAAAAAGTATGGGATGTTCATACATCAAGTGTTTTAGGCCGAGGGGGATGACGGATGACCCCCCCCCCATTTCACAGTGAAGGACTGGAACGTCAAAAGTGATCAGTGATGAAGCGACTCTCCAGTCCTCCATGTCTGGGAGGTGAACGGAGAGTCTCGGAGGTGAACGAATCGTTCTTCACACGTCACGCATGTGTCGTGCCCCACTTCGGCTCAGATAGGACCCTCGGTTCGTTTTGGGACCCTGGGCAACTAGGGCAACTTGGAGGGAACCAACATGCTGCCATTTGGTTCAGGTCCATGAGCTTTTGTGAAACACTTAAGCCGAGCTCTTTCATGCTGCATGCTCTTTCTCTACTTCTCGTCTGTCTAATCATTTCCATTCATTTCCAATCTATCCCGCCCAAGTTCCAATCCACCATCTGTGAGACCAAGGCAGCCTCCAAACCACCGGCAAACAACACCAATACCACTCTGTGTTGAACCACAACTTCAACCTCTCCGAGGATACCTGGCACGCTTCCCTTGTGAACACGAACTTCTCTCCGCCATGAGCTCTATGTCGGGGTAGTCTATCGTGGCACCATATTACACCATATCCCAAACACTCCATGAGGCTGCCATAGGACTGCCGATCAGGCCAGGGGTGGTCTTTTGGGGGGATCAATTGATCGGCCTATGGCAGTTCTATGAGTCGTGTCTGGGTGTTGTACACCCCAATCAGCACCCGGCCCAACTCCATGGACGCCCCAAGAGTTGACTCCAAGTAAGAGCTGAGTCCATTCAGCTGCGTGTGGTGTGTGTGTGTGTGTGTTTCTTGCCGAAAGGAATTCAGTCGTGTCTGGCATCCAGGCGGCTCATTCTGGAGATCTGTCAGGACTTCCTCCCACAGATCTGAACAGATTCACCAACTCACATGGAGTTTCACCAAGATGCCAACAGGTCTTTTGCCTGATGACCCCGGAAATTGGCGCGGCCTTCGTGAGATATTCATTGAAGAGCGCCAGGACCTGCATCCGACCAGGAAGCGGCGCCCGGTGTGGCGCGGCGCCAGGTCGGCTCCAGGTGGGTCATGGATGTTCCAACCGTTGACCGATGAACCTCTATCAGGTCGTCCGATCCAGTCCATTCGCTTCAAGACAGGTCGTCAAGATGGGTCCGCCTTTTCTGGGTGCTCTGTGAAGCAGTTACGTGCAGAACTCCTGAGACCTACCTGTTGCCGGTCGCCGCTACGGCGTGGACCTGCCCCGGAATTCAGTGGGTGGGACATGTCGGGGCATGGCACGGATGTCTGTTTAGATGCTATATAGAGTGCTGGTACCCAAGCACCACGATTTGGTAGAGGAAATGCCAATCCCTATATCACATGTATACCGGTTACTTATCTGCTTGGGCTGCGGTGTTCCATGATATTCACATGGCCATTTGCTTCCGCGTATTACAACTTCCTGCTTCATCCGGTCAAAATCAGTCAAAGACGTTAGTCGATCGGTCAGTGATCGAACACCTCTAAGCAGAGTTTCAAAGGGGCCACGACCGGTGTTCCCCTGCCACATGGGTAGCATCGCACACAATGGATTGAAATGGCACGATCTCGAAATTTGGTTACTCAGTTACTTGCCACCTTCCACTTAACGATCAGAATGTTGATAATGTTGCAAGCTCTCCTCAATCAACTAGCAAGACCAGAAGTGGTTGAATCAGTTGAATCTAATGAACCTGAGAATGGAACCAATAGAAACCAGTATGCAGGTCCTGGATATAGGATGTTATAGGATTCGCAAAAGCAAGGATCAGTTGAGAAAGTACATGAAAGTACAAATACCCAGCGGGTCCAAGCGGCTGTGTATGAAAAGCAACCAAAAGTCTACCAGGAATTTCCCGGAAGCGACCCATGTCTGCCTGACGCTGCTCCGGTGTGAATTCATCCCCGCGCGGGTCGCCTTGGCATGCTCCACGAGGCCATCATCCCACTCCTCACCGGTCGCGTCTCGTCTCGCATGAGGCGCTCGTCTCGAGGGGCTCGTCCAGCCGAGGCGGGGACCGACCGGTCGAGTCGCATGGGACTGGTCCTGGGCATGGTGGACTACCATGGATGTGATGCGGAGTGCATGGCCCCCCTTTCGTTCGAAGGACACCCCCAAAATAAACAACAACAACAACAACAACAACAACAACAACAACAACAACAACAACAACAACAACAACAACAACAACAACAACAACACCAACACCAGCAGCAGCAGCAGCAGCAGCAGCAACAGCAACAGCAACAGCAACAGCAACAGCAACAGCACCAACAGCAACAGCAACAGCAACAGCAACAACAGCAGCAGCAGCAGCAACAGCAACAGCAACAGCAACAGCAACAGCAACAGCAACAGCACAACAACATCAACATCAACATCAACATCAACAACACCAGCAGCAGCACCAGCAGCAGCAGCAGCAACAACAGCAGCAACAGCAAACAAAAAACAACAAACCAACAAACCAACCAACCAACCAACCAACCAAGCAACCAAGCAACCAAGCAACCAAGCAACCAAGCAACCAAGCAACCAAGCAAGCAAGCAAGCAAGCAAGCAAGCAACAAACAAACAACATGCATAGTGTAGATCGAACAAGGATCTGGCAATCAAAGGCCAGGTGTGGAGCTGGCACCTTATCTGCTCATAAAGGTGCTGCCCTGGGTCTCCCTCCAACCCACCCGTGTCAGCAAGTGCTAGAGGAGAGCCCTGCTACCAAATACCACGCAACCTGGACCTTCGAAGGGATGTTTAATGGAGATCCCGGATAGTAGTGGGCTGGGGTGTTTCATGGAGATCCTGGAGCGCCAGGTGACCTCTTTGAAGCTGGAACATGATGTTGTCTTGTAAGGAATTCTGGTGAACAACGTCTGTCTTTTGCCGACCCCGTCGGTCCCGAAGCATGGGGTTCCTCCTTAGTGTGACCGAGGTCGGTGGCTAAGCCACCCAACCCCAGCAGGAATGCAAAACCAAGACGTCGCTGGACCTGGGGACCTGGGGACCTGCACAAAGTACCTTAGGAAAACAATGGGTTGTTCGGTCTTAAACACCCATTGAATGAACAGGTGTTCCCAAGGCCTGTGTTGCCGCGTCTGGAGGTTTCACAATTGGCGCCCCCCCTTTGAGGAAGTCCGTCCCGATCTGACCATCCGTTCTTTCACATTGCACTCCCAAGATGGAAGTGAAACACACCCACTTGCAAAATGTTCACCCATATTCAGATAATTACATGATGTCATCTGAAGTCTACAGTAGGAAGAGAGAAGGGCCACCGGCCCATATCCCCCGCCCTGAACGCTTCATTATAGGGGCCACCTTCCCGACCTGACCGAATCCGCCCGTTTGGGCCTTGTGACTCCAGGCTGCGGAGAGGAAGTTCCGATGGAGCGCCAAGACCTGCGGCGGGGGGCGATGTGCTGAGTGGATGGAGGATGGAGTTGTGCGTTCGGGATCCAGGAGGGTCCCGAACCTCAGGTACAGTGATGTGTTCGACACCTGCTGAGAGGAGGTGCCAAGGAGGGTCCAATCACCTGCTGAGAAGGTACGACTGGATCCCTAGGGTTGGAGGATGGAGTGGTGGATGGGCGGGGACCGAGTGGATGGAGGATCCTGGAGGATCCTCCATGGTCGTTTGAGCCGCGGGGCCGCGGTTCAACCCGGTGGGACCGTCCATGGAGAGAACGACATGTAAAGCAGAGACCTACATAGACCTTTGAACACCCTAAACTCTAAAACCATCTAAAACTATAACAAGATCTTTTCCAAACACCAGCAAATCCAAAACTCTCAATCAGATCAGATTTGCTCTACAAATGTCTCTGTGATGTGTTCAAATCATGTCAACTGTGGCGTGGTTCGTCTCCGCAGCTCGCGTGCTTTGGGCCGAGGCTGGGCCGAGGCTTCGGATGGTGTTTGGGTCGACTCAAAGACTAGCTGGCCAAGCTGGAAGCTGAGATCTGGCATCCGATCGTCACCTTTTTGGCCGTGGGCTAGAGCTTTCAGCAAGGCCTCTTGCCAATATCTGGCCTGGGTCCCCGAGGTTGGCCAGACGTGGGGCCGAGCCGGAGTTCGACCCAACGAGCACGGAGGACCCAACGAGCACGATGCAATGGTCTCTTTTTGTTGTACTAAACACTCCATCTATAGGAAAGGCTCTCTTGAACACCTATGGGGGCAGTGGAAAAAGAAGGCCAACGCAAGGAACGGATTCCATCAATGCTTGGGTGTCCAAGTTCATGTGCCATGTGTTTTATGTCGTGTTCCTTGTTTTCTGAAATCAGAATGATCTAAGTGCTTCTTGGATCCCTCAGAGAGGGTGTGTTCAAACTCATCCTCTTTTCGGTTGCGACGGTTTCATCGTTTGGAGGTGGAAAGGCAGGCAAATCGGTGCACCTGGGAAGGCGCCCTTGGCCGTTTCGGGATGGTGTAGCCTGGTGTAACAGCAAATTCTTCTTGACCGCTGAGCCCTACGATCTTTATTACGTGATCCATTTCGGTCCTTTTGATTCTTAACAGAGCTTTGCTGCTTGGTCACCACCGCGACCAGCTTTGCTGACAGCTAATTGCTGCCTCGTCCTACGTCCCTTCCCCACGTCCGCATACGATTCGACTCGATACCCTCACGTCTAGCGCAGGCGCGCATCTAGCGCTGCGCTCGTCCGCCCTAGACGCGTCCATATTATCTCCTCGTCTGCTCGGCCAAGGTGCTGTGGAGTGGGTGCGTTGCAAGTGCTGAAGCCGCCTGTGCTGGACGGAGCAGCGGATCCCGCCACGTGAAGACGGGGCGGAAGGCGGAACGGGTCCTTGGGTTTGGCCGAACCGTTGCCTACAAGTCCAGAGTCGACCTGGTTTACTCGAGTTTCTCATACCAATCAAGAGATGGCTCGCTGTTCATGAGGTGGACCAGGACTTCTGGACTTCTGGACCTTAGGGATTGGTGATTACCTTACACTTGGAGTTGCCCGTTTCAGCTCCACCAGTTGGAAGACTCTCAGCAGGGACGGGGTGGGCAGGCGGGCAGGCCGGGCGGGCGTTTTTTCGCCAGGTTCATGGAGTTTGAAGGAGCGGGAATAATGAGCTTTTCTGCTTTGATCAGTTTTTAACCGTGTTAAACTACGTTATGATTCTGTGTTCCATCTTTGTGTGGAGGAAGTGAGAAGTGCACATCCACGACTGGAAAGCCCCTCAAAAGTCGAAAGTCCATTTTCTGGAGGTTGGTCAAGACATGTCAACACAACACCAAAAAAATGTGGACCCATTACACCTGTTCTGTTCATCTCTGTGTGCTCCGTTCTGACCCCGTAGTTGCAACAACAAAATCCCCACAACCACCCTTTCCATGTGGCAGGAGCCACCTGCTACATCATCCAAGACAAACCACGGTTGCAACTCCCCGTAATGCGCCACCCAAACCAGCAGGAGTGTTGCTGACACTGCAGCAGGACAACCCATGAAGCCCGATACAGTTTCAGCCCGATACGGAGCGTGGTACCGATACCGGTGTTTCTTTCGGTAACCGATGGTAACCGGTTGTTTCATGGTTTTTTCCAGCATCCAGTCCAGTCCCAGAGGCATTTCGGCACTGAGCGCTGCCATCGGCACCTGGCAGCCGAGGTGGGTCTGGGTCGAGTGTGCGCCTGTTTGATACGACAAGATAAGCTTCTCACAGATAGAAAGCAATGCTCGCGGCTTCACAAACACCATCCTGAATCCTGAATCAACACCTGCAATGTTACTAATTGATGCAAAGACCGGATTAAACCCCACATAGAAGGTCTAGAAGGTCTAGAAGGTCTGAGGTACCATTCATGAGGTCCACTCCCTGAGGTACCATGCAATGAGGTCATCGGACCATTGAAGGTTTGAGAGGGGATGAGCTGATGAGCATGAGGCCAGATGAGCTGATGAGCGGAAGCAGTGGGTTCATAGGAACCAAGGCATGAGAGGAATTGGCTGGTAACATTTGGGCTCATCATGGCTCAGTGAATCCATTAATGAAATAACATGGGTTGTGTGGGCTCGGATTAACTGGGGGGGGGTTCTGGTACCCAACGAACGGATTAGGGCAGGGAAATAAGCCACCAATATCTACTTTCCATATTGGGCCATGTTCGGAGACTTTGTGGGCTCAGATTCACGGCCGGGGTGATTAATCCTATGTTTGCATGACATGCTTTCACCTCTTCCAACTCTTCCCACCGCACCGGTCGGTTCGCTCCTCCTTCGCTCGGCGCAGCTCGCGGAGAGCGCCTGGGAGAGCGCCAGGAAGAGGTGCGGAAGGGACACGAAGAGCTGCACGCAGGGAAGGACCTGCCGTTGCCACCGGCGCAGACGTCCTTGCGCTCTCTCTTTGAGCGCTCGTCATTTCGGGTGGATCTGAGTGAGAAAAAAAGGATGAAAAAGCTGAAGCAGTGCTTTCGGGACCCTCGAAGCGCTTGGAGACCATTTATGAACAAACATCTTTACTGGGAGGCTTGAGGAGCTGTAGCTGTGAAGACACCAGCTCTACACAAGGGCCGGTATAGTCACTGTGCATATAGTGCATGCACATTCCAGTTCGTATGTTGATTCAGCCTCTTTAACTCCACACCAGCTCGTTCTCTTCTCAAACTCCTTCGTTGGAACCTCTTGGACCTCCCGGTCTCCATCCTTCGTGTAACCGGAGAAGCCCCGTTCGGTCTCTACCAACCCCGTACGCGGCGTAGATCGGACTTGACCCAGGCGATCGGGTCCGAGATGAAAAAGGCGTTTGCCTATTCAATTATATTACACCCTTTTGGAGTTGTAGCAAACAACTTCGGAGCTGACCCAATAAGGTCCCTTACGGGTAATCCTGATGAACTTTGTGATAAGTTGCTGTCAGTTGCTGTTGTTGTTGTTGTTGCTTTTAGTTCCCTGTGGAAAACAAGTTGTTCTTCTCAGAACAACTTGTTGAGACTTCATTGACAAAGGAAAGAAGCAAACCAAAATCCCTAGGATGATGTCTCTCTTTGTGCAGTGTGTACGATATGGATTTTTTTGGAGCCCATCAAGGCAACAGTATCACCTAAAGGCAAAGCAAAGGATCAACTGCGTGGTGAATTTTTGGGGGATCCCCCATGTCAACACAAAAACCTGACCCCAGTGCGATCGTTTGTATATATAGCATTGAACTACCTAGTAGTCTATTCTTTTCCTGGGGGAAGGCGGTCCAATAGAACTTCAGGGTGCTTGCTCACTGCTGCAGAAATAAGGCCCTAAGAAGCTCTTGATGAACTCCTAACAAAAGGCTCTACTGTTGGAGCGCTTGTCTTCGAGACGTTCCCTAAACGTCAGGCAAGAACAGAATCTAATAAACAGTAAACATATACAGTACACAAAGGATCACAAAGGAGAAAGGAATAATAGGCCGTGGAGGTTGGATGAGGAAGCTTCGTCCTGCGTACCCCGACAGATCCTTCACTTGAAAGTCCCTAGGTCCTTTGCTAGCGGTTCAAGTTGTAGTGGTTTAGTAAGAGATCCCTTCCAAACCAAAAGCACTAAATCTAAGCTTATAAGTCAAGGTTCAACCCTGACATTGAAGAGTCCAATGTTGGACCCTCCATGGACTCGAGTCAAGTTAGGCATGAAAACCGGTGTTCTTCACCCCAACCATCGACACCCTGATGACTGCATGGAGCTGAAAAACCGCTCCGCGTACGGTGGAGACGCTGATTTTCGTCCGTGCCTCGACCGGAGATGACCGGAGATGACCGTGCCGAGTGTGCTTGCGGCTCTGCACCAACGACCCGGCCCTACGTTTTTCAAAGAAATATCATCCAAGAACATCCAATCAACCAAGCACATGAACGTCTGTGAGAAGGACCAATCACCAAGGACATGGACACCCATGTCCACGCGACACATGGTTTGTAACAGCACCCGAGACCTGCCAGGTCTCCGAGTTTTGGTGGCTGAAACATGGAGACTGACATCAAAAGTGGCAGGGTATACTGACCTGTGCATTCAGGTGTTGGTAGAGGACCACGGTTTTAGACTGCCTTTCCTTCTTCTACCGGCTGTGGACATCTTTCCGTGCCTTGAAATCAGTCATGTGCCACCAGAAAACACCTGGGGCACCGGCCAAACTGGCATGGGAGGCGAGGTGGAAGTAACCCGAAGGTGAGTGTTTTTTGGCTGATGTTTCTTTGGCATGTGACTGGCTGCAACGTGTGAACGTTCTTTTTGGACGGACCCCCATCTGTACCTACCTAGCTAGTATATACAGTGGTTTCAACCCATCAGGTTCAACCAAAACTTATCCGGCAGGCAAAGGTCAGAACCTCACCAACGCTACGACACCTCCTGGCTCCAGGTTTGGTGCACCTGCGCCATCGATTCTGTGTGCCATCGAAAAACAATTCACCGACTAGCTGACCTTGGCCCGGTTCCAAAGGAGGCAAAAGCGCGCCTCCCTTGGGGCGTCCACTTCAGGTGGCTCATGCTCCCCCCCAAAAGATGGGGTGCCAAAGCACAATGGGCATTGATCGTAATCCCAAATTAATCCCAAATGCAAACTAACAAAAAGTCCTATACTCCTAGCCAGTGACTCTCAGTGTGTGCATTCCAGTTCTATCATGTTTACTTCTCCCCCTGTTATAATACCCCTGCCATTCTCTAGAGGATATGGACAGGAGGATCTTTAATGCGTTTCCTTTTGGGAACGGTGGTTGAGATGATTGGGGATCCCCTTTCAAGGTCCCAACGGTCCAACCCCTCCCGTTGGTGCGTCATGACGCGTGCGAAAGCCAGCGCTGGCTTTCGATCGTATGCTTTCATTTCGTTTCCCCCAAAAAATCACGAATTCATGATGTTGGGATGTTGATTCTCCAGGATCTTCGGGTCAAGTTTTCCACCAGGCTCAGAGTTCGCTCGCTCGCTCAAACCACGTGCAGACCACGCCCGAGGGGCGAGACTCCAAGTCCTCCCAGTCCTGAGGACGACGCACGAGTCGGTCTCGTTCGGTGCTCTGCCGGGAGTCTCTGAGAGGAACGCTCCTTCACCGGGTGGGGTGATGTTCCTAACACATCCGAACTATGGCATCACTTGAGCGACGAAGGTCGAGAGACATGGACCAGGGCTCTAGATTTGGATGAAATCCGCATTTAGATCATAGTTCTGCAAAGAGGTGATGTGGGATATCCATGGCCCATGTTGGTTCATGGACCCTCAAAGTGTTGCATGTTGCTTCGGTCCAAGTTGCCCTAGTTGTGAGATGTTGTTTTCGGGTCAAAAGCCTAGCAAACTGAGGGTCCGAAATCTGAGCCATGGGGGCGAGATGGACCTGAACCATGCGTTTCACGCTGCATTTCACATGGTGGTTCGCTCTTGCCAGGCTTTTTGGAGAGTGACATCCCGGCGGCGAATTGCTCTGCTTCAGGCGGGGTCGTGGAACCACTCTTCCCATGACGGTGGAACCCAACCAATGTCATCAGCAATAGTATGGACGGAAACAAAGGGTCCTAGAACTGGCAAAAGGACACACACCAAAATGTGCAATTCCGAGAGCTTCTCAAGCCAAGACTCCTGATATCTGTAAGGATAGATCTCCTTCCTGAGGGACAGTGACTCACCGGTCGAAAATCAAAGCGTCGTGATCAATTAGTTTCCCGCAACCATGGCATGCCAAACGCACAAGAAGCCCGTTTGGGTCCAACATCCCAGACATCCCAGCTAAGGCATCTGGTCTCTGCAAAAAGAAACCATCGCAGCTAACCATCCTCTAAGGCCTCCGGCCTCTTCCGTCAGAATGTTTGTTGCGGATTTCTGACTCCCCTGGTGGTCGCCCGGGATTTCCGGGGAGAAAGGTCGCCTTCGTGTTTGGGGTTCACCTCTTGAACTTCCGTTTGGACTCATGACATACCCCACCTGGCAGTCCTAATCACCACTAAACGTACCCTGATGTTCGGAGCAAAAGGAGTCACGACTGGACTCTCAGAGAAAGAAGAGGGCGCAACCTAAGAAAGCCTTCCAGAAAAATCGGCGGAGTCTCTCTTTAAAACATGCTGCTGAAGCTTGTAAATCTCACCTGCTGAGAAGGCACTTGGATCCCTAATGTTTGGAACATCTCCTTACATCCTGGTGGGGGTTGTCTTCTCCAAGAACCGTGTGGAGACGGGGATGGCAATCCGTCAGGATAGCTTGATGGCTTGCCCGCCACCAGGCCAGGCAGGATGGGGTCCCTGAGAGATGATGCAAACTGTGGATTTATAAAGAACCACTTCTATGTTTATATATACCTAGAGCCCATTTGACCTCTGTTTTGATAGGAAAAGGCCTTATTTTGGGTGGTTGGTGGTCCAAAATAGAGGTCATTCAGGTTCTAGGTATATATATATATATATGGAGATGTAAAGCCAGGGTGAAACGGGGTAATTGAACGTTGTTTGTTGTAGCGGAAACCACACCGCACTGGCTCCTTCTCCTGCGGATATCGATCACTCCATAAAAATGGAAGCAAGTCCAAACTTGCCAGGCTAAATATATTCCTTAGGGATCCACATATCTTCTCAAGCCTACATAACTGTGTCTCCTTCTCAGAGGGTATATGGATCCCTATAGGGATTGTTGTACGCCATATGAAGGGTGTCGATATTAAACTCTTTTCGTGGACAATGATTTTGTTGGGGTCTCCGGGTAAACGTGGCTGCCTATTCTTCATGTCCGTACCGACGGATTCCGTGCAGGATCTTTTGTCCCATGGAACACCGGGGCTGGCCCTGGTCCCGTCCTGTGAGCTAAACATGTGTCCATACGGCTTTTGGCACCATGCTTTTTATGTTTTTCTGACCTCAAGGGTGGACACCTCTTTGGTCCGTTTTTGTATGATCCAATCTAGCATTTCATGAGGTCAGTTCCTCACCAGTACATGTGACTTTTGGTTTTAGAAAAGGCTCGGCCTATGAGGATCTGGCGCAGGTCTGCGCATGTATATTACAGAGATCTCACGGGGCCGATCTCAACCTCTGCGCCAATGGCATCCCAGGTGCGGCGGCTCGAATATCGAGGACGTCCAGCCCCTGCCGAGAAGGAGAGCTGAGAGCTGCGCCATGTTTTTGTTGGCGAAACTGTAGAAACTGGGCCCGAACTTTTGAGCTATAAGTGGACCATTAACATGAATCTAGTGTTGCATTGCTTCGGGAATTGGGCTGGTGGGAATACACCGCGCAAGTGCCACTTGCTGGTGCGTTTGCGCGCATCTTGTGGCAAGCTTGGCTGCCTACAGCTCCCTTTGCATCCGGCCATGGGACCGAAAACACGCTCGGTTCACCGAGCGGTTTGGGATTCGGAAGATGGCCACGTGGACCACGAGGTGGTACCCAAAGGCTCCATGTATATAGAACCACCCAAAACCACCGGTCATGTAGGCCATGGAGGCCATTCTGGGGGTGGAAATTCTCTCTTTCAAACAATCGAAAAAAAAGGCGGTGCTGAAACCCGATCCATCCGCGGCGCCGAGGCAAACACTTCTTGCGTGGAATTGTTGGGTCAGGAAGTCTACATGGTGGACGGTCCGCACCCCCAGAAAGCGCGTTCCAGCAGTGCGACCAAATCATCATGGTTATTTTTTTCAGGATGTTGATCCCAACAAATGTAGCTGCCGGATTTTGATGGCAACCACTGGTTTCTAAGACCACAAACACACAAGCTATGATTGGGTACTTTCGCTACCAAGTTCCAATGATGGTTGATCAATATTCATTTCATGACAAAATGACATATGTTCACAAAACGTGTTTGTGTGTCTTTTTGCGTGACCTCGTCACTTTCTACCAGGTTTAAAAACAAAACAATGTTTTGTTCGTTTGTTTTTTTACAACATGCATTCGCAAACACCATCGCGGATCTTTCACAAATCACCATCCACAACGTTGTTGGTTGAAAACCCCTTGCACGCCCCCTTGGATTGAAACCCGAAAAATGAACAAATGTATATGATGTGTCCACTGATGTTTTTTTTGTGTGGAACCCACGGTTTTGCCCAACATAACTCCTCCAAACAACGAACGTTTAACCAAATCAAAATTGCAATGCTGCCCCGGCGCCTTTATCCAAGGAATCCAAGCAATCCTTAACCAAACAAACGCGTTGACTAAAGGGTTGGCAAAAGGACAAGCAGCATATAACCAAACCCAAACAAAACATGTCACCATCAAGGCAACATATTTTTCAACGGAACCGCCATCTCCAACCGTTGCCACGCCTGTTGTTGGTGCCCTGCATGGTGTAGGTGTACATGGGTGTGTCCGGCACAAACGTCGGCAGGCCCATATTGATCCAATCATAGAAACCCATCCTCAAAGTCTCCCGCGGCCCCAATGGAACCAGGGCATGCTGCAAGTGAGTGGAACCGCAAACCAGTGGTTTTTTTTCTGAAGCCCTTTCGAGTGCATGTTGAAAAAAGGACAAACTGATCTATATTGAAACTATAGATGGAACCCACGAACCCGAATGCAAACACGCACTCCAAAACAAACGTCCAAACATTTTCGACACTCTTGTGGGAGACACTCGTGTAGAACGCTCTTGTGGGACACTCTAGCGCGACACTTTCGTCTGCGTGGGGGGGGCACTCTTGCAGGACACTCTCGTAGGACACTCTTGTGGGACACTCTTAAGTGAGCTCTTGCGCAACACTCTCGCGGGACACTCACGTACGACACTCACGTACTCAGATGTAATTTGGCCACTGAAGCCACAGCTCACAGAACCTGCTTGCTGCACTACATGTGTACTACCCGCTGGCCAATTCTGCGGCCACAGCTCCCAGAAGCTACATTTGCACTAGCAAGTGGACAGTTCTGAGGCCGCACCTGCCAGAAACCGCTGCCTGCACTACATTTCCACCACCAAATCGCCAGTTCTGAGGCCGCAGCTCCCACAACCTGCTTCCCGCATTACACTCTTGTCGGACACTCTTGTGGGACACTCACGCACGACACTTGTGGTACACTCTTGTACCACACTCTTGCGAGACACTCTTGCAGGGAACTCTTGCGGGACCTATTGTCGGAAACCCTTGTGGGACACTCTTGTGCACTCTTGTGGGACGCCTCGTACGACACTCACTCTTGTGAGTCACTCTTGCGCGACACTCTTGTACGTCACTCTCGCGGGACACTCTTGCAGGACACTCTTGTTGGATACTCTTGTGGAAAACTCTTGTAGGACACTCTCTTGTCCGACAATCTTGTGGGGGCAAGGTAACACCAGCAGCCGGATGGGAAAATCAGCAGGGAACAGCTCAAGACAGTATTGGATGATACGTTGCCTTCATACAATTTGCTCAAAACCTGCCAACGCGCTTCATACAAAATGGCAGACCACCTCCATCATCAAACTCCACAAAGGCGCCAAACGAAGTAGCTCCATTCATTGGACACCCATGTACGGCTGAGGCCGAACAAGTACTGATCCATCTTTTTGATATTAGGCATGATGGGTCAAGAACAGACCGTCAACTCATTCAGCATCTTAATCCTCACTAGGCTCCACTAAAACAGTTCCCTCAACAGTTTCTTCATTGTTCGGACAATTTTTTATATAGTTGCAATATCTCTGGAACAATTTCCTTGGCGTTGTTTCCTTGCAGCTATATTTCGCGACGCAGCCCGAAATCTATGTACACCGGCTCTCGGCCTTGATCCTGCTCTCTCCGCCGTAGAAACTTTTGGTGTCGGCACACCTCCGTTGATTCTATGCTGCCATCAAACAGGCATCGTACCAACAATGCCCGCCAGGATTCAAACCAAGCAAGATTGCACATCTAAGTCTGGCACACTCTGCGGACAGGTACGGCGCCAAGCTCAGTAGAAGAAACACGAGGTCAGCCGCAGGCACAACACCGGCTTCGTCGGCTTCCTTTTCCAGACTCTGCAGGGGCTTCATCGGCAAGACCTGAGGCACTGACCCGCGTCCACAAAGTGGACTTGTTCTCAGTGTTCTCGATAGAGATGATGAACTCGGGAGGAACAACATCTATTGTCATGATGCCGCCACTGCGGTTCTTGAAAAAGATCAAGCCGCTGCCCACTGCCTCCTTCAATGCGATCGTGAGCTGAATGGGACGCTTACCGCGGAGACCGCTTTGGTAGTCGGTGTCCGTGATGCGGCTGGCAGCCAAATATACATGTGACGTAGTTTCGTAGATGCGCCCACTTGCGCTGCTAAGAGGGCATTGGCCAAGCCTTGTCCATGTTCGCCTTCTCCCACCTTGACCGAGTATTGTCCGCAGGCTCTCATAAGGAACACGAGCTCCTCCGACTGCCTCCCAAGGCCTCTGACAGTTCCGGCAGGTTGCGCACCGGAGCCTTGGTACCTCACCAGGTTCGCTAGCTCCGCGGTCTGGCTCTGAATGGCCTTCGCGATCTGCGCCACAGGCTCCGAGGGGCCCTCCGATCCTCTCTCTCCAGCAGCTCCAGCACGACCATCACCTCTGTAGATGGCTAAGCGCCCAATGTCAGATGACAGGGTGACACCGCCCTGCAACGTGCCAAGCGTCCCGCAACGCGCTAAGCGTCCCGTAGCAGAAAACACATCTGGTCTGTTGCAATGGCATTTGGGCAAAGCTCATTCATGACTTCATGAATCTTCTGGTTCCTGGTTGCAATCAGCTCCTGAAGGTGGCTGCACTCGGCAAGGCTTGCATTCTTGGAAGGTTCTGGCCAGTCAACAACTGGACAATTGGATAGCAAGTGGCCTTCAAGTGCAGGTACTGTTGGTTCTGGAAAGATTTGATCAAATCTGGAGATACGGTGATGGCCTTCTCTTCATTGTAGCTGATGGTGACCTTGTGGGAAATCTCGACCATGACTGTGGCTGTTTGTATTCGAGCCTTAATTTGTATTAAACACATTGAACCATGGCAAAAGCAAACCATGTCTTGCCACTAGATGTGTGGCCTTGAAAACAAAATTGCTTGGCGAAATGTGTTGCCATGGTGGCTAGCGTGTGTATACATTGTGGCTAGCATGTTGCATTTGTGGAAATCATGAAAGATTTCTGGTGGCACCAGCTTTGTAAGGCACGGAAATGTCTTTTAAAGCGAACAACTTTTCATTAAACAATTGGATAATTTTGTTTTTGATTTCCATCAAACAAAAGCACATGTGCTTAGAAACCTATAACCAATATCTATTTTTCAAGACCTGGTTCTTTGTTTTTTGTAAGTATATTTATACACTTTAACTAAAACATAATAAATACACTTTTTTGAACTAAAATATACAAACAATTATAGTGAGTTAACATAGTTAACATGAGTCAGCTAAAATAGCTAACTTGTTCCTAATTCATGTTCACTGAGGCTAACAGTCACACATGGTTAAACATAGTTAATACATACTTAATACAGAGTAAATACATAGTTAACACATAGTTAGTTAGTAAGCAGTTATATCTTGCGCTAACTAAGTTAACTCTTTATAGCAAAACCAGGTTTGTAAGTTGGCCCGGGCAGCAACAAAGTTGCTGTGCGCAGTGACCACACTGTGCTGTTGCCCCTGTCGCTACGCTGCAAGCTCGGCGTCGAGGGTCCGGCTGCACAGGCCTACGTCCGCAGCAAAGGGCGGCAACTCCATGGCCACCAGGCTCTCAAGGGTCCACCCCATGATCGAGATAGAAAACACTGAGGTCCAGGACCAAACTTCTCTGGATGAAACTACCATGGATGCTCCTTAATGTACCGTTTCTATTGTCGACTTGAACCTTGATCAAAAGAAAGGCCCACCCTCTCCACTTCGCCTTAGCTCCTTTCTCGTGAGGATGCGCTTTTGCAATCTGCATCCTGTTCCCATAAGGAGGCGCGGCTCAGGATGCAGCTCAGGCAGCAAACGGTGCAAGTCAAGTTGCGACTGATATGAGGCAAAGCGCAAAGTATCAGAAGCCAGGTAGGTGGCCAGGCTGCCGTTCTCGATCTGCCAAGATCGCGGAGCAATCTTGGGGCACTGCCTCTCATGGATCAATTTCTCATGGACAACTTCTCTGATGCGGCACTCTTGCAAGAGTTGGGGCAGTTTCCCGGGTTCTTCAACGCGCTTTTTTTATCCCAAAATCCATTTCCCCCGGATGTTTTCCGAGTCTCCTTCTTCCAACCCTTCATGCAGTTCCCTCCTCCCACTTTTTTTGCACCCTGTTTATCCCCAACTCCTTTCCATCGTTTCCGAAACTCCTAGTTTTCCATTCTACGAGCACCCTTCTCCCAACTTCTTTTTTCTCCCAGCTGCCTTCTCCTAGCCCTATCTGAAAAGAACTACAAGTGGATGAATGTCAAATAGAAACGTTTCGGTTATAATCACGATAGTGACGCGTAATCTTGTGTGCACTAGGTATTTCCAAAAAGCGAATCCAGTCAAAGGAGCAGTCAAAGGAGCGACATGATTCCTTGCTTGTAACCTTTGTCCCCCTGCGCGGTCGACAATTTAATTACCTGACAAATTATAAACATATGTTAACAAGATTTAACCATCACCAACACCAAGTTCAATAGAGAAGGGTTTTCCCAGGCAGTCTACTGTTGGGGTTCTCTCTTGGAAAAAAAGAGCTGGCCACAGTCGCTGGCCGCGCCCCTGAACGCTGTGTCCGGGTCTTGTCCTCCCCTTGTCCTCCTCTTGTCCCCCTGGTGCTTGGAGTTGTCCTGCTATTGTCCTCTGGCCGCGCTGGCCAACCCCGTGTCCTCCTCTTGTCCTCCTGGCGCTTGCAGATGTCCTGCTGTTGTCCTCTGGCCGCGCTGGCCAACCCTGTGTCCTCCTCTTGTGGTCCTGCTTTTGTCCTCTGGCCGCGCTGGCCAACCCTGTGTCCTCCTGTTGTCGTCCTCTTCTTCTCTTGTTGTCCTCCTGTTGTCCCCTTGTTGCCCAGATGACAGCATGGCAGCATGAAGACATGACACCACCAAGCGCAATCAAAGGTCCAATGCGTGAAAGCAATCGCGCGTCTAGTGGGAAAGCATCAGCGGGCAAGCGCGAAGACCGCAGTGCCGCTGTATGGCCAAGTGGCAGCCTATCAGCATGTGAACATGACAACATGCAAGCGTGCGCTACCAAGCGGCGAGGCGCTAGAAAGACAAATCCAGGAAGCAGCCCCAGAAGCCGATGTCCTCTCCTTGTCCTCCTATTGTCCTCTTCTTGTGGGGCTCTCCTTTGGGAAAAAAGTTGGCCGCAGTGTCAGGCCGCGGTCCTGTCCTCCTCATGTTCTTCTATTGTCTTCTTGTTGTCCGGTGTCCTTCTTCGAGTCTTCATTGGCCGCGGCTGCCAGCATATCTCCGGTCGTACTCCTCCCATCATCGTCTTGTCTTTCTTTTGTCTTCTCTTCCTCTTCTCCTCTTGTTCTCCTCTTGGCATGCTCCCCTCATGTTGTCCTGTGGTGCTTTTGGCGTAGTCCGGTCACAGCTTGTCCTTCTTTTGTCCTCTTGGTGTCTTGGTGTGTTCGTGTTGTTTGTCTTCCCTCATCCTTTTGTCCTCTGTTGTCCGTCCTCCGTCCATATGTCCTCCTCTGGTCTTTCTGTTGTCCTGCTGCTGTCGTGCTTTTTACGTTGCTTTCCGGGAACGGGGTGGGGCTGCGTCCGCCCACGACAACAATAATTCTTGGCCAACTGTATAGCTGTTTGGGGTCTGGGCTGGTATACGTCTTTTCTGAGTATAACTCGCGCGGCACCGGGTACCAAATCCAGCTTGAGTTTCCTACGCCAGTTCAGTTCCACCCCAAATCCAGTCCAGGTCCATTCCTTTGCATTTCTTCTCCGGAAGAGTTCAAAATCCGCCAGTTTGCATCTTCCAGCTTGCATCCACCATCATGACCCAATCCGGCACCACCGGTTCAAAAGTTCCTTCTCCCTTCCATCCGGGCCAAGCATCGTTTGGAGCCAATCATAGGGGTAGTAGATGCCTGGCTCCCGCATCGCACCCCCGGGGAGAGGGCCGGTGGGGACGTTGAGCAATGATGAGGTAGCAAAGTGATTCATGATAATCCATGATCTAGAATCTAATCTATACCTAGCTCAGGAGTGATCGCAAGTCATGCGGCATACATCAGGGTCTCAGACATGCAGTGTTACAGTAAGTATTAGTCTGACAGTGCCCTGGATACATAATCTTGGACTGCAGAAGGGAATGTCCAGCGACAGGTTCCGTGCGATGGACAGCTTCCACGACTGGTCTGAGGACAGCTTGGGCAACCACACCCGAAGCCGTTTCGGATGCATGTTGCACATCTGAACTGAAACGGAAGCACCCCCACAAACCCGCTTCAACCCCCCTAGATGTCCAAGCAGCAATTTTGGGATTCCAAGAAAAGACATGAAGCTTCAGCTTGGGTTCCCACGTCCATGCCGGGGGTCATTTCTCTCCAAGGCCATACCCAAGCGACCCGGAGGGGTCACGTCCAGCGAACATGGTAGTCTTGTTCCATCCCCATGTCAAGCAAGCTTGAGGTTCAGGACCTGGAGAAGGTGGGAATGGGGTGGTGCCAGGGGGGTTCTACCTTCTGAGGTTCAGGACCTGAAGCGGCTTTAGGAAATCGCCCCAAAGGCCAAGGCCTGGAGACACTTTTTTGGTTCAAAGTCGTCTTAGTCATGGTCATAGTATGTCCCCTTATAATCCCCTGGCTTTGGGCTGGGGGTGGGTCAGGGGTGGGTCAGTTGTTACAAATTATTTCTCAGAACTCTCAAGCTGTGATCCGCAAATGGCAAATGGCTTGGGACGCAAACGAGCCAAACTCAGTGCTGCTACCGGCCCTCATGTTTCCTTCCAGCTCCCTGAGACCTGGCTCGTTCAGGTCGACCCCCGGGGGAGCGGTTAACAGACCTTCAACAAGGGCCGATCTGAACCCAACATAACCCAGACTGAAACCATCACCAGATGCCAACTGGAAGCCGTCCACCGGCAAACCAAAGCCAAGACTCAGACTTGGAACCGAAAAAAAAAAAAAAAAAACTTCGAACTACTTCCAGTCAAACGAAGCACAACTCAGCTGCCCCCCCGGATCCACCTCCGCGGGCGATCGCGCCAGAACGCTCAAGAATCGATCGCCCCAGCTTGAAAACCGGCCGCTCGTCTCCACCTGCACGGTGAGAAAGCCAGTTGCTGTAGCTCTTGTCCGCCAGTCTCTCCACAACTTCAAACCTCCCCGGTCGCCGTCGCTCGGTCCAGTCCGCCGGTCCACGAGCGGTTGGTTCGGAGCTCGGTTGGTTCAGGTGGCACCAGGAGGCCTGAACTCACCCTGGTAGGTTGACCGACTAGCAACTAGGTCGTCAGGTCGTCCATTCTGTTCATTTGGGCTGGGAGTCCCTGGGGTCCTGCCATGACCCACAGCCATGTACAATCCATGTGGCCAGTGCCCACCATGTTACCACCCTTACTTGCGGAGGATCAGCGACCTGCTAGATCAGGCGCAGGCGCAGGGGACAAGTTAGTTGTTCGATCAAAGCCCACAAAGAGATGCCCCAGGCCCGAAACCAGGCCATGCATGTAATCAGAATGTGAGGCAACAGGGGATTGCATACACTGTGCAGTAAAACAACAATAGTACACTACACCAAAAAAGCAAAGGAGAAAGCTGTCAGTCGGTGGAATTAGTGGATTTGTTTAGATGCTGCACTCTGCCTAGTCACTTGTGTGCTGTGTATTTGTCCATAACGGCGGATGCTGACATGCGGCGCGGCATCACCAGGGCGCCGCTGTGTTTTAAACACCCTTCATCACGCTGGTTGACTGGCGCTTGCTACAATATAACACCTGTTGGCCTGCTGGCACCAGTTGCCATGTCTACCATGACTTTTTTGGACTGACGGACCCCAGACAATAGAACCTTCAACGCGCATGAGACGCATGACCACATTTGCCTCCGATGCCAGCGATGGGCGAACCACACCGATTTTGCCATCGATCGAGAAAGACCGTATTGAGATGCTCTTGTCTGAGGACCCCAATGAAAACCCGGTGTCAGGATGTGTCAGGAACCTTTCAATGCAACCATTTGAGACCAAATGAGCTCACTTGGAAAAGGTCGCTGGAATGCCAGTTCTGTGCAGGTCATTGCCAGATCCCTCGAGCCTCGAGCCCAGTTAGCAAAGGTCAAAACCCAGAAGGATCCAGAAGGGATCCAGGCCAGAGATAGAGGAGGATTGGGGTCATCAAGGGTCACTCTCAAGGTGCCTTTCCTATTGTCAGGATGGGCGGGACGCTCAAATTCTGTGGTGGATCTCAGAAAATGGGTCAAGTAGATCGGCTCAAAAAAACAGCATGCCTAGATATGCCTAGCACTTCCAACGGGTGCCTAACGGAGACCTGTAAGTACGGTAGGGCAGGGTAGTCTAGCCAAGACACCCAGACGCATGATCCTGGGGTGTGTCTCTTCCAACTCCGTAGCGGAAGCTCGGAATCTGTTCAGGCCTTCGCGGTGTCGGCCGGTGGGAGTGCGCACCGGCCGACACCACGGGTCCAGACCATGGAAGACCCACGGGGTCTTAGACCCGGCGGGGGTATGGAAGACGACACGGCGGGTCACGGTCGCTGCGTGGTTGGGACGTCTCCAAGCGCCTGAAGTGGAAGCCATTGAGCTCGGCGAAGGAGTTCATCAACAAGCGCCTGACCCGACCGCGGGTGCGACCGGCGGCGACCCCCCCGGTGACTGAGGAGCTCTGCGGGTCCGTCTTTTGGGCCGAAGGGTAGGCACGTTGCATGCACTCGAGGTAGGGCCAGGTGTTCAGTGTCTGAACTTAAAGACAGAAGAACATGAATAAAGAGAAGCCCTATGATTTGGACCTCGACACCCAGCAAGTTTGACTGCTTGGTGGCCACTCACTTGAAGAATCTCTGTTCAACACATGATTTTGGACCTTTGATTCCGACGGCGGTCACCGGATGTCACCGGCACCATTCAAAACGAACACAATCCGTTCGAGCTTCAGAGACGGAAAGGAAGCTACCTAGCACTTCCTGGACCCCTGTCTGGAGACCTGTTAAGGGTTGGGTAGTCTAGCCAGGACACCCAAACAATCCCAAACAGGATGATCCTGGTACAGTTTCACGCAGTTCCAAAAAGGTTTTAAGGTCGATAGGGGGTGAAGCTGTATCGACAAGTGACAAAGGTTAGTTTTGTTGAAGGGGGGATTCGGCTGAAGCCATGACCAATCGACACACATTTTGTGCATGTTCCACCTATAAGGTTCTATACTATACTCCCTCACTCCCTCGCAGGACTCTCCTCAACTCTCACACAGCCGTGTTGCACCCCAAACCGTCCCACACGTGCGAGAACAGCGCCGCACGTGCTGGAACCACCACCACGCCTGTTCCAAAAAGGCACAGGACCTGAGCGGGCGTTCTCTCACACGAGGCACGACAAACGCGCCGCCGTCGTGGACACGTCCAGGACACGACGACCAAACACTGACGCAGAAACAAGTAGGACTGAAAGCATCATGGCCCATCATGGCTGCGTGGATGGCGCTCCTGGAAGATTCCCGCCTGTTCCGAAGACCAAACTGGGGGTGCGATCCACGTCCATGCATGGAGGGAGGGTAAACTGCATAGATAAACCTCTGGTCATTGGCTCGTCCCCTGAATACCCTGGCCGATTTCAACACACGACTGAATACACCGCAAACATGCGTTAACCTTTCTGCTGTACAGTGGAATCTTGCCAGACTGATCCTTCCCGAAAAAGAAAAGACAAGTCAATGCGCCCGCGGCCTCACAACGTCCCGGTGGAAACCTCCATGGTTTCTCCCACATCTCCAAAATAACACACACCTTTCATCTTTGAGTCTTTCATCTTTGAATATCTTCCACGGCCCCCTAAAAGGTGGTGAATGGACACGCCTTGCTGCCTTTAACCCTTCTTTCGGGGGAGCTTTTCCTGGACACCCCTGGTTTGAGGACATCTTCAAGCCCAAAGATCACTGAAACAGCTAGACTGGCAAGACCTTCTGGCCCGTCTATTTCCCCAAACCTTCCAGGGGTGTCGGAACGCCGGACCGAGCGTCTCGCCGCTCGCCTGGTCAATTCACACCCAATTCTCGACCCAGGCAGTGCCGTTTTTGGTTGAAACCACCAACCACCAACCACCACCAATTGTCCGCTCCTGTGTCTGGTGAAGTGGTTCACATGTGGGGTTATCCGGTCCTATGTTGAACACCCGACCCGAGGCCTCGCCCACCGAGCGTCGCCGGTTCAGGAGCACTTCCCGGGACTCGGCTCCGGAATAGATCACCGGCCTCGCGGCCGGTAGATGGAAAACCAGGTGGACGGTGAAGGCAGTGAGACGTTTGAACGCAGGTTTGGACCAAACATGGGTTACTGGGATGTGGTGAGATGTCCAAATGATCTGGAGGCTTTCCGCCGGAAATGGGTTTGAACAGCCCAAAGGCACCCAGTGAAGCGGGGCTTTAGTGCTTGAAGTGTTGATTTTGCTCAGTTTTAGAGACTTTTCTCGGTGGCATAGGCACCTGAAAGGCATGGCCTAAAGGCGAGCTGTGGATCTAGGTCTTGACCACAATCGCTGGTCGATGGTCGAAGAAGATCCTGCTGACTCGTAGGCAACGCTGGTCACATGCATTTGAAGGTCGGATGCGAAACAGGCCGGATTCGCTTCACATACGGGGCAAGGTACCCGATCGTTTCGGTGATCTGTTCCCTCTGCTGGGTCCAAGCACATCTCCTTTTCAGTGGGTCGGGTGAGGCAGCCCCTTCAGAGGCTCTCCCTGAACGGCCATGGTGTTTTCGTTTCATCGATGACGTGCCGACTAACCGACTTCCAGATTCATGGAGAGTGTGAGCGTTCTACCTTTTCTTCCTACCCTAAGAATCCGGACCCTCAAACACATAGGGTTTGGTTCGGGCCCGGACCCCTGTCCATAGACCTTTCTCCGACCCCTGCTATGGAGAGCCCGTTCGGATTCTTAAGGGTGTCCCATCCGCCCATCCGAACTAGGAGCCCCGGCTGTGTGTAGAGTGAGAGCGGTCGGATGGCCGGAAGCTTCAAGGAGGTATGGCTGTAGACCCTAGGTACTTCACGTGCGAGGGGCCATGCCATCCACTTCCATGGATATTCTGGGAGTATACTTTAAAACATATACCCTATAGGCCCTATAGGGCTCCAGTCGTACTTCCTCAGGTACGGTATGACGGTACTTGGAGTGTTGGTCATTAAGATGTTTCATATATAGACCGATCAGGTCAGGGGGGGTGGTTTAAAGAAAGGTCATTGTATGTCAATATGTCCGTCCCATGGAGTTGGCCTCATTTATGTGCAAATGGTCGAGCACTTCCTTGTGCCATCCAAGAAGCCGTGGATGCCTGAAACAAACCAAATGGATCCACACATCCCAAAAAAGATCGTTGGTGTGGTCTGGAATGAACATGTTGCAGCAATCCCTCAAAAGCATGGTCAAACACGTTTGTTGTTCATCCGTTCCCCATTTCTTTGGATTCCACCTCAACGTCCTCATGATCGTTTGGCCATGCCGAGCATCTGCAACGACAGGTAGGGCGCTTTCGTGGCGAACGAGTGGCGCTCATCCTGTCGGGTCGCGCAACGAAGGTGCACCCACTCCGCTTGAGGTGCCCTACGAAGCATCAAACACGGCAACCCTGTGGAATTCCCGGCCACCTATAGCTGGTGGATAGCTGGAAGCATGTGAATCATTGTGAAACCATCAATGCATGTTTAAACATTTTTACCAATCCATTGGGTGATGCCAAGGGTGAAAACAGGAGAACTACACCCAAATTTGGTGTGAGAGACACTCCTTGTCTGCAATGCTTGAAGGTTGGGTTTGGGCAGGAGTTGTTTCTGTGACCAAAAACCTTGTCAGTCCAAAAGGCAACACTTTGCTCTACCAAAGCTTTCTAGCTATGGGTGGAAAGACACCTCTCGGTATTCAAACCAACAAGCCACAGTCAACGAGTCCAACATTTGCTTTGCTGCGAAAGTTTCTCCATGTTTCTCCTTGGCCCTGGAATCCGATCATTGTGTTGATTGCAAGTTTCGACAAACCCTGGACCATTAGTTCGCCCAAGTTTCGACCATAAGGTTCAGGAACTCAAACTGTACAGGAATATACAGGACTCGTTCTATGAGTTCATGAGCCTTATGTGGCCAGATTCTATTCTATTTTCTATTAGATGCTTGTTGAACTCACCAGGATACATACCCTTTGACAAAAGTAACTTGCCAAACTTGCAGATTCCAAGTACCTCTACTACTACAGAATCTTACAAAATCTGATTAGTTACTACTTTGTAGACTACGAACCTCCACAAAATCTACTACAACTCTTACATTCTCTGTAATTAACACTTACAAAACCTTACCACCCCCCCCCATAAAAAGAAGGTGGCTCAACTCAGGCGTTTTTGCCGCACGGGGAGTCTCGGCGTCTCGGAGTCTCGTTTCAGGTCCGAAGGGCTCCTGGCTCAACTCCAGAAAAGCCCCATAAAGACGCTTTTGATCTCTCCCCTGTTCGCGCGGACGCGGTGTACGGTGCGCGGCAGTGAAGCAGACCCAACTTCCACATGGTCACAAGGTCAACTTCCACAGGAAAGCTTGAAAATACGCTGAGTGTCGACAGGTCTACCAGAAAGCAGAAGTGTAGCAGCCTATACGATCGTTCATGGATTTGGGGAGTATTCCCAGACGATCCGAGAAGAGTGTGAAACAACGGTCTGTAATTCAAACGGATACCAAAAAAGGCACCTTAGACCTGCAAAGCCGCATCTTTCGGAGTACGCCGTCTCGGCGCTGTGCAGCAGTCTCCTTACCCGCGTTGCCCTGGATCTCTGAGAGCAAGAAGGTGTGAACTAGGCTTGATCTTGCATTGCTTCTCCAAACAGCCTGTCCCCAAAATGGTTAAGTTCAGCTTGTCTCTCAGAGCTTCTCAGGGCTTCGCCGTCGGAACCTCCAAGCACCCATATGACCACGTGCAGGAGGCCACTCTTGCTTACAGGTCAACACGGTATGACTGTGTGACGGTGACGTGGGTCCGGTGGTGTCACAAGCATTCTATACCCTAGGGCTCCAATAAGTACCTCCTGAGAGGAGGTATTTGGACCCTCTACACCCACCCCAAACACCTCCTTAGAATGGTTTCAATGCTGGGGTCATGCAACGTGGTTCTTCCTCTTTTTTTTTGACAATCCCGACTATACCGTCTGAGTTCTTGAATACCCTCCTGGTTGGTGGTTTCAAGATGAGGACCCCAGCATTCCCTCGGACACATCAGTTGGGAGAATCATGCCTCCCTTGATGACAAATGAGGGTTCCGTGAGAATCCTCCAAATCAACCCCACCCCCATGCATTCAGTAGAAATCTGTGGAAAACGAGAACTCTTGCAAGATCCCCTTCCTCATCCTTCCTCTACAAATTGAACTTTTCTTCCACATTCACAAACCCTACACTTCCTCACAATATCAAAAGAAAAACATATCAGAATTCACATTGGATTCACGAAAAACAATATCTCCCATTGAACTGGCCTCATTCTTTCTCTCTCTCTCTCTCTCTTGCGTGAAACGGGCGCTCTTCCTCCACGGTCGTCACTGCCACTTCAGGTCACGTGCCGCGAAGATCGACGAACGCCACCGCCACCCGCGCCGCAACCCGCCGTCCACGGAGAACGCGACTCGCGACGCCTCGTGGATCATGAAGGCGACGTGCACCCCGAAGTAGCCTGCAACGGCTGCTGGAGGACCAAGCCTGGAAACTTTGCCCCCGTGCCCGGGAAAAGAAGAAAACACATCTTCCCATACTAGAGACACGTGGAGCAACACTTGTCCCAGGAACTGGGGAATATACCAGCACCTCCCTGCCAGGTCACCAATTGAAACCTGTTAGGGCCCTTCCCAACCCTCCATTTCGGAGACCTGTTGGAAGGTGCTGGTATATATAGTTCATCCCCAGGACCCTCCTGTCGGGGTGTCTATTTATAGCCCCTTAACCCTTAGCTGTGTTTCGGGGTGTCCATTCACCACCCCTTGGAGGGTCCTGGTATAGTTCATCCATGGTTGATCCTAATCGAAACCAGATTCATGTTCCGTTCCACGCGCACAACGGGCAAAGTCTTGGCGGATTCCGACAAAACAGCACGTACCCAACAAGCATAGTGTGTGTTGAGGTAGTGCCCTTATTGTGAATAACAATAGTTATACTATACAAACCCTAGGGCTCCAGTCTTACCTTCTGAGAAGGTGGGACTGGGGTGGGTGCCAGGAGGGTCTAAACACCTTCTGAGGAGATACCTGGAGCCCTAGCAAATTATATAAGAGGCAAGTGGAAGCGAGTGGAAGGCTTCCGGGGAAGGGTTCTTGGTGCGGGTATCTATGTCATCCTCTCTCATGTTCTTGTGTTCCATCCTGGGACGCCCATACCTGCGATGCCGGACCTAAACGACGGAAGACTGTCAACTTTGACCATGGGAAGGAACCATTCGGAATGGTCCATATAATGTCGATATTGTGATGATATGGCGTACAAGGTTGCAAAGGTACATACACCCGATCCACAAAGAAAACACTGAGGCCATTGATATGCATCCAATCCCTGGATCAATACGAAACCATCAGACCAAAACTTCGTCCTTGCGCGATCGGAAGATGGACATCCTTTGTAAGCTGAGCCAAACAAACAAATGGGCGCGGCATAGTGCATCAAACTCCACTCCACTTTGCACCTGGTGGGGTTTTCTCATGAAATGCTGGGAGATGCAGTTCTGTCTGGATCCCATATTCTCGTTTGGGGGGGGTCAGAGGGGGTCGGGCAAACGGGCATTAGATCCTTAGAATTCATCCCATGGGTCCCATGCTGTCATTGCTCTGGGTGCCCAGGCCCAGTACTGGCTTCCCAGCACGATGCATCCTTGGCACTGCGGCCAATCTCTGGCAAAGGCTCTGGATAAAGACTTGTGATACAGGGAACCAGGTTTATGAAATCCCCTAATCGCCCAAAAGACTTCTTTGCGCTCAACTGTTGCGTGCACATCAACAATTCGCACACTGCATCCTGATCATCTTCTAGATGTTTGTCACATGAATGACTCCGCAGATATATAGTTAATGTTGCAGTAAGTTTATTCAGCTTCTCAACGTTCAGTCCTCAAATTACTATATGGCTTGCAAGAATCTGTGTTGTGACCCCTGGACAATAGAGGTTAACCTTTTTGGACCTGTTCTTGTTCAGTGCGGCGGTGTCCCCAATCCCCCGAAGAGGTTTTAGTTTGCAGATCCACTGGTTCCTCCACCATTGACCCTCACTTCGACCCAGGGATCGCTCGTCTTGTCCTGTGACCATGGATCCCCTCATCCATGGCACTCCACCAAACCCCAACGCTCCAAACCAGTTGTGGATTGGTGGTTGTGATGGGTTGGTGGTCTGTGGTCTGAGGAACTCGTGTTTCCACCTCATCCCGGCCGGTTGGTCCCTGCGAAGCATCTGGGTGCCATCGAAACGTGCCATGCTGGGACGTGGGCGGACAGGGCCCCGAAACGCGCCATCCAAAAGCTGCAAAGGGCTCTCGATTGACTAAAACCCCCGCGACATGGATTGCAACACTTCTTTAGGCTTGGAAAGCCCTTTTCACCCCACCCACATGGATGCGCCCTATTTTTTCGGGGGGTTAGATCTGGATGTCTTCCTTCTCGACGGATCACGCCTCCGCCGCCCTCCTTCAGTGATCTGCGGCCCCAGTGGCGCCACACAGGCGATGGCCGGCTCGGAGCAAAAGGCCAGGTCGCTCTGGCGGAAGACCTGGCGCCGCCGCCCACCGGCCAGGTACGAACGGACGGTCGGACCGGACCGGGTCCCGACGGCCTCGGGGTGCCAGGGTCGTGCCACCTGGTCGTTCTTGGGAGGTCGCCTTCCGCTTCCAAGAACAGTGGGGCCGGCCGAGTGGTGCCGGCCGAGAGGTGGGTGCGTGGGTGAGAGGACGCGAGGGTGACGGGAAGATCCCTGATGTGGTGAGGTTTGAGGTGAGGGAAAGAAACCCTATGGATCGTTCCGCGCTGCAGCGAGAGTGATCCAAACCCTATGGATCAGAGCGCTGATCCAAGCCCTATGGATCAAACCGACAAGTCACTTGATCCAAGCCTCCGATATAAACACATCTGCATGGTGGCGCTCCACCCCACCACTTTCTCACCAGTTCGATCAAAGCCATCCTGTTTGTGGCAAGCCTGTTTTGAAGTACTGGCCGCCGCTAAATTCATTGGGCTCCACTGTCCACATATTGGGCCATGGTTGGGTAGAGTGGGTGGCAATGGGCGCTGGTTCACTTTTGGGCTAACATGGGTGTGTGATCCAAGCCTTATGTTTCTGGCCGTAGCCATATCACCCCAAACCCATGCACGGACTACCCAGATTGTTCTAAACAAGTACAAAATTGTACAAACCGAGTGCTGGACAATAGGTGTTGGGTCGCCTTTCTGGCTACATGATGCAGGAATTTGTGCGGTTTTAGGGCAGTTGCAGCTTTGTGAGACATGCTGGAAAGAAATGGCAGTCCTGGGCTGTCCCGGTTAAGACTCTTGACTCTTGATATGAAGAAACGACCGTTTTCACCACAACCACCCAAAACCACCCACTTGTTGGTGGGAATCCGCATTGCAGCACACTGTGCACCCGCCCTCATCTCTGCGGAAAGACCCCAAACATCATGACCTTCAAAATCCATAGTATAATGTTCCACGTAGACCGTGGTGTACTAGAAGTTACTAGAATACAGAATATTGTACACCCCACACCAGATGGCAACATGCACAGATCGCCCCATTCCAGAGGACAGGCCGCCCGCAGTCATGAGACCTGCTGCCTGAAGAGTTCCGCCGCTGCTTGAAGCGTTTCGGCACTCGTTTTCCCAGAAATGTGAAGAAACATGAATAATAATCATCCTCACCCGCACCTCCTGCGGTTGATGGACAAAACTAGACACCCAACTAAGTCCCCATGGATATTACAAAGGCATCCTGTATGGAGGCATATATGCATTACAATTCCTTTGTATAATGTAGACTCTTGATGAATAAGAACCCATTGGGATGGAAGAGCCTCTTCATATCGGGTGGGTTATTAATCAAGAGTTCTACATTACATCCATCTATACATTGGAGTGATTCCATCGATCAGGCTATCCAGATCACTGATCTTCCATTCCCGGTTCCCCACCTCATCCTGCATCAGCAAGACCTGGAGCTCCTGGAAACCGAAACCAAAACACGCAAACCGAGTCCCAAGCAGAGTCCCAAAATGAAACAAATGGACCTTCTTCTTTCCCAGCCATTTCCTCTGTAACAGAGGCGCTCCGAAGCCCCTATTCACGCATGGGGGTTTCTAGGTTTCAATTAATTCTGTCTATACGATTGGGTTGCCGTTGCTGTTAAGGAGTTTATGCACTACCGGGAAACCACGTGATAAACCATGAATGATAACACAAATAATATGGTAAACTGAAGTTGTGACAACCACGGAATCTCTACGATGTCCGTCTCCGTCCTTCAAGCCGCAAAATGCCCATTTTCTTGGGCTTCGTCGTTTTGCGGGTCTGTGAAACACATGTCAACCCGTGCCAAAAAGGAAGATCCATTGACGACCAGGAAATTTTGGACCATGGCTACTGTAGGAGTAGCCCGTGGAGGCGAAGCGGGCGCCGTATCCGATGCAGTCGAAGACCTTGGCCAAGTCATCCCAGAAGTCACCTAGGGGCGTGAGGAACTTTCCCAGATCTCGTCGATTGGACACCAAACATCTTTCGAAACGTTAAAACATGATGATGTATACTGTATACAATATTAATATAATGTATACACATCAAACCCCAACAAAACGTGTTTTCTTGTGCCATTTTCCTCACCGACCTCGCCTGTTTCGATCAAGCTGACATTTGCACCTTCAAAGGCCTCCAATTGACCGCAGGCTCAACAGACTTAGACCATCAACAAGTCGACCTCCTCCTTGGTCGGAGGAAACGTGTTTCTTTCGTACCCCTCCTGGTCCAAAGGCCGCTTGTGAAAGGCAAGGTCTGCCTCAGGGACAATCGGAACGTCGACATCTTTGCGCCGAGTGGTTTCGATACACCAAACAGTACCCGCCTCCAACACTAGACAGCCACATTCGAATGTTTCGCCGACCCCACCTGATTGACCAGCAGCATCATTTTGTCCAGGCCCAACTTCCGCGCCCTCTTCAGCACGCGCTCAATACCAGTCCGGCCTTTCGCATGATATGCTTTGAAGCTGTCCCGGCAAAATGGCAAACCCAAAAAGAGGACCTGTGACTCGAAAAAATTTGGATGAGATTGTGATTCTGGTAAAAACGGGTCGGTTGCCACATATACTTATATACATCTGTTTGGGGGCCCCATTTGTTTATCAACCACTTGGTCATCCATTCGCCTTCTGCGCCGTTGTGCGCTCATTAAATTCTTTTACTTTTTGGAAAACCTTTTGGAAGGCCAACAACTGGGCGCAATCAACACATTTTGTTTCGCAAAAGCTTATAGGGCTCAGCTACTTCTTCCCAATGTCCGTATCCGATGGGCCTTCGGGTTCTCCAGTGGCGAGTCCAAGCCTTCAGATACTCCCATGAACAACGCTGAGGCTGCGTCCGAATGTGAGTCAGTCAGCCTTCCACCTTCAGTCCATGACATGGATTGTGAAGAGCTGTGCTGTAAGCGTGGACAGTGCGTGGAAAAATTCGAACGCCAGGATTTGGAAGAGTACAAGTTGACCTTTGGCAATTTAGCCCAGGCAGATAGTGAGGGTGGAAGCCGGAGGGGCGATACAGGAGAGTGGACTGGCGTGGACAGCGGTGAGGATGGAAGGCAAGGCGGGGGCGCGATACGGGAGAGTGGACGGGCGTGGACAGCGGTGAGGGTGGAAGGGCGTGGACAGCGGGGAGGGTGGAAGGCGGCGGGGCGCGATACGGGTGGGTGGACGACAGCAGTGAGGATGGAAGGCAGGGGCGCGATGCGGGAGAGTGGACTTCTCTGCTGGTTGGAATGTAAAATGTGTTAGCCGTTAGCCATTGTTATTCTTGTTCCTTGCATGTTGCTGCTAAAATATTGCCGGTGCAACCCAGGATAGTGAAATGAATGAATCACAGCGTGCAACATAAAATCTGCCGTGGCCATGGACATGACAATGAGCCAGCAAGCTGGCCGTTTTGAGAGACCAGCTAGCTGGCCAGACATGGCAAGTTGATGTTTTCACTCAATTCTTCCACTGCGCTAGCCACTAGATTGGCCTACCTCAAAACCTGACTGACATTGTCAGCCATACATCTGCAGCAATGTGAACTTCTCTGGGTCGACCTCCAAAATGTTCCGACGCCCGGCTTTGAAGACAGCCGCCTCAGTCATGTGCTTCTCGTTTTTCTTCACAACCAGCAGCTCAGGAACAGCTTCTTGGGCGCCAGGGCAAATCACAGTCACCTGACCCCACAAAAAGTTGAGTAAAAACCTGTAGTGAAATGCCTGGTTCAAAAACAAAACGGCTTCAAGTAGATAGTGCCCCAGCCACAAAAAAACATACTGTTAGTATTCAAGCACCTTGTTGCGCTCTTCTCCCATGGTTTGCTTTACGAACCAGGCATCTTCGGAGAACACCATGAGGTTCTTGATGAACAACTTCAGGGTTTGATAGCTGGAGCTGGGCCAAAGAGATGCTGAAAATCTACACTCAATGATGTCAAACTCAGATAGCCAAGCAACGCGCATTTCTGACATGTGGCCTTCTTCTTTTTGGACTGACAATTGGTCAAGACCAGCATGTCCTCTGCCTCCATAGTGATCTTATCCCAACTCAGGGTCAACAAGTTTGTCTGGTTTAGCAACTCACGGTCCAAGTAAGAAGTGAAGTCTTCGATCGTGTCGTAGACCTTCGAAGGAAACCTTACACGCTTGATGCGCAGCAAACTCTGGTCCGGGAAGTCTTTCTCCTCCAAAACTGATTGCCACATGATTTCTGAAGAGATTCGCCGTCTAAAAGCAGAACAAATGCGGGCCCAGAATTCTGCGTATGAAATGATGACATTTGACGTTGGCCAAAAAATGTTGCTCTCTTCTCGGCTCTGAGATATCAAGTTGCGATTATTATAGAGCAGCATTTCAAAAAATTGCACGTAATGGGTCAGCAAGCTGACCGTGAAACATAGGGCAAGCAAGCTTGCCCATACAAAGTTCTTTTTTCGAACAGGCAAGCTCTTTGTGAAGGACCGGCTTCACATTTCTACAAACGGGCACCAGACCGAGACATGGGCAGTCGCTTCCTGGCCACCATTGCCATCCCACACGGCTCCAGCTTGCTTTTCCCCTCAGACGTGGAGACTCGCACCATCCAGACGCAGCTCAGTCGACTGGAGAGGAGCGGAGCAACAATGTTATACGATTCATCACTGCTTCAGTACATACTTCTGGAATTTTTCTCCACTTGCCAGCTGAGAGTTGTCGTCTTTTGTAAGAGCTCTTCTTTTCCTGCCTTCATTCATTCCTTCCTTCCGTCCGTCCTTCCTTCTTTCCTTCTTTCCTTCTTTCCTCCTTTCCTCCTTTCCTTCCTTCCTTCCTTCCTTCTTTCTTTCCTTCTTTCTTTCCTTATTTCTTTCCTTCTTTCCTTCTTTCCTTCCTGCTTTCGTTCTTTCCTTCTTTGCTTCTTCCTGTTTTCTTTCCTTCCTTCCTTCCCTTCCCTTCCCTTCCCTTTCCTTTCCCTTCCCTTCCTTTCCTTTCCTTTCCTTTTCTTCCCTTTCGGGCGCCGCCGGACCTCAACCGCCAACTCCCGATTTAATGTGGGCACTGGTGTGGAATCTCCTTTCCTGCTCTTCTTTTCCAGAAAGATATGTCAGAAAGAGTTTCAGAAGGTGTTTCAGATATTTATCACCATATATTTTTGCACACGCCGTGGCTTGGAGTACTCAAAGTAAAGTAACATTGGTTTTCATCCGTTTCGGCCAGCCTTCCAGCGAAAGCAGCTTCGAAGACTTCTCCCACGTACTTGTCCAACGCGTCATAGTTCCAATGAGTTTGGATCACCTGCAACAGACGTTCTGGGTTATATGTTTGGATCTCCACGCGGCTGAACACGGCAACAGGAATCGTTGCGAAAGTAAAACACAAGCTGCCCAGTAATTTACAAGCCAAAGTGCAGCACCGTCCTCGTCTGTAATTGGGCCAGAAATCTTTTTGGACTTCGGCGAAAAGTTGTAGCCATAGATAGAATCAAGCTTCTCTGACTTGATGAGGTCGCTCAAGCTCACGACCTTGCCCTTGTAGACAAGTTTCATTGTCTTCTTCACATCCCACACGAAGTTTGGCTCTTGCCCTTGCTTGGCTCGTTCAACCTTGCCACCCTCGAAAGCGTACAGAATGTCTCGCTTGACAGTCTTGCGGCTTTTGCAACCTTTGTCAGACTTCAGGAAGAGCTCGGCGTCGGCGACAAACAACTCCACCACGCCCTTGCCATCAGCAAAGTCACAGACTATTGTGGCTGTTCCTGGGAGGGCAGCCTGCTCATCTCCGTCTGGCTCTGCTTCTTCTTCAGCTTTTTTCTTCATCTCCAATGGCTTCCGGGCCACCATTCTCAGGTTCTCCGGCGGCAGCGGGCTCAGGAGGATTTTCATCGCCGAACAAGCCCTCAAGCTCTGCCTCCAGGTCAGCGTCCAAATTTTCCACATCCGTAGAAGTCTTTGCCATTTGCCTTTTCGGTTGCTTCCCTGACTTCTCGGCAGCTGGAAGTTCTCTTTTGCGCGCAGCGCGCTTTTCCGTGGAGGCTGGATCATCTTCGATAGCTGGAACTCCAACGGCGGATTTCTTGGGACTGGGTCATCAACATCTTCTGAAGACACAGACGCGTCATCAACATCGGATTCTGAGCTGCTATGTCTGTCAAGTGAAACCTCCGACGTTGGATGTGTGGGAGCAGGCGCTGTTGCAAACAACCCTTCGTGCCAATCTGGAAGTTCTTCGTGGCCAGCCTTCGGTGAATTTGGCTGATCCATGTTTGGCACCACCGATGTCCGTTGGCTATGCAGTTTGCACTTGCGGGATTCTCTTCAAAGATGCGAATGTGGCAGAATTTTGGAGTTTCTTATGATCACATTGACTCTTGTAACGTAACTTGTAACCGAAAAAATCTTTCGTTTTGTCTTCTGCAGCGCTTGGGTTGCAACCATGTGAGATCTTGCAAATGATTGGATGTTTTCCATGT